TATAAAATATATAGAAATATATAATGTATATAAAATATATAAATATATAAAAATATATAGAAATATAGAAAGATATACATTAAATAAAATATATTTCTGTATTTCTATATATTTTTGTATATAGAAATATAGAAATTTATAAAATATTTTAAAATATATAAAAATATATAGAAATATAGAAATATATAAAATATTTTAATATATAAAATATACATACATATATATACTTATACACATATACACATATATACATATACACATATATACATATACACATATATACATATACACATATATACATATACACATATATACATATACATATATATATACATACATATCTATATATATATATAGATATAGATATGAGCTCATTTTGAGGTGCAGGCCCTGTATGTTTGGCACACATTGGTCCATAGAGTTTTCATATGAGTGCCAGGACAGAAGAGCTTTGTGGCCTCGAATGCCCTGCCTGGTTTTCCCTTCTCCAGGAGCAAAGTGGAGGTAGCAGCGAGTTTTCCACTTGGACCCGGGGCCCGTCTGAGCGCTGGGCCAACGCTGTGCTCAGTAAATCCCCGTGCCAGGAGCTCCTGGGTAACTGGGCATGAAGGGAATCAGCAGTTGGGACTCGCAGCCGGAGTGTTTGCAATGTGCCTGCAGCTCCCGTGCTGGGGAACTCACAAGGAAAAGGGATCCCGGGCATCCAACAGCCTGGATTTGGGAGGAGGTGGTGTGTGGCACAGGCTGAGTCCCTGCAGCAGCGCTGGCTGTGCCAGGAGGGCTGGCATGCTTGGTTTGGGTCGTGTCTTGCTGTGTCTCTGCCACCCCGGAGTCACAGCCACGAGGCTCCCAAGGAGCTTCGTTTCCATCGGTTTGGCTCCTGCTCCTGGTGGCAATTCCAGCCCAAAGGATGCAGTGCCCTGTTCATCCTCCTGGGCTGCAGGAATGGGGGGGAGTGGTGATGTGAGCATTAAATTCTGTACTCAGAGGGTGCTGAGGCCCTGGCACAGGTTGCCCAGAGAAGCTGTGGCTGCCCCATCCCTGGAAGTGTCCAAGGCCAGGTTGGAGCAACCTGGGCTGGTGGAAGGTGCCCATGGCAGGTGAAGACATGATCTTTAAGGTCCCTTCCAACCCAAACCTTTCTGTGATTTTATGAATAAACAAGGGGCACAGGGATGTCTAAAATCCCCACAAGTCTTTGCTAAGGGAATGTGTATGTAAGCCTTGGATCCATCAGTTCAGAGCTTTAGGATAATTCCTCTTAGTTGTGCATGACATGCACTGTCCACCTGCTTTCTGTGGCTCGGGTTCAATAAACACCTGATAGTTTCAGTTTTTGGCACAGCCAAGAGAAGTGTCTGAGAGACGGTCCAGAGGAGATAATATTCCAATTTAACTACCTCTTAGGAAAGTCCCACTGTTAGGGACTTTCCTGACCATAGGAAAGCTTTGGGATATGAAGTGGAAAAGTCTTTTGGTGGGTGCATTTGGGTTTAATTAGCTGGCTGTGGCTGCTTCTCCAAATCCACACAAAACTTTCTCTGGGCGTTTCCAAAACCTCTTCAAACTCTCTATGCTAGAAATACAGCAGGGCTTGGTTTTCCCATGTAGTTTTGGGATTTTCCTTTCACGATTTTGAATGAAATCAGGATGACTGGGGATGTGTGACCAAGGAAACTATTTTTTAAAGAAATTACATCACTGGGTTGCACTTTGGAGCAAAGGACCCGCAGTGGTTCTGAAACACATTAGTGTGAACATATTCCCACTGTGCACTGTCAAAACTTGCAGTCTAAATTGGGTCTATATTCTAAAGGTCTGGACCATTTGGAATTCAGGGATTTGATGTCTTCCATGGTTTTGTCGTGTTCAAATCAGGACCCACAGCCCTGTGAAGTCTGGGGTTATTCAGACACTGAGGTCGTGACTGAGTTTTAACCTATTTTAAAATTTAGAGCTATATTCATTATCTTAGGGGGTAATGTCCCATCCAGTTGGGATTGTGATTAGACAGTATTATGGCTTTCCTTATTTCCCTCTGATTCCCACACTTGGTGTTTCTCTGAAGGCTGTGACGGGGCAGAGACTTCCCCTACAAAAAGGCCCCATTTCTGGTCCTATTGTGGAGGAGGATTGAGACGTGAGAGCTCAGCATAACCCCCTGGAAAAACTTGGAAAGCTTGAAATGTAATGAAAAGCTTTAAAAATAACACATGCAATTTTGCAGAACTGCTTTCCCTCGGCGGCCCCCGTGAGTTTGGGGAGGAGGGGGGGGGGTCTGAAGGCTCGGGCACAGCAATGGTGTAAATTGCAAATTGAAGTGCCAAAACCAGTCTGGCCTGTGCAGGTCACTGGAGTAGACACAGCTCTTGCCTGAAAGCATTTGTAATCTAAAACCCTGTGCTATTCCCATTGGAGGTAATGACAAAACTCCATGTGATTGCAAACGGAACAGGATTAGACCTTAACTAAATAAAAGGACCTTTTTTTTCCCTCCTTTTTTTTTTTCCCCCCTTTTTCTTTTTTTTTTGTGGTCACCAGATACTCGTTACCCACGACACATTCAAACAGCTTTTGTTCAGGGACCTTAACAACCGAATTTAGTCTGGAATAAAACTTCTTTCCTCACTTTAAGGCAGGTTTGGAAAGACAAGATTTGAAAAGAGAATTCCCATCTGTTATTGAAGCATTTAATCATTCTTTAAAAGCCAGCACAGTTTTATTTTCTCTGGGGAGCGAGCAGCATTAGCTGAGGCATAAAGCAAACTACACCAAGTGTAGAAAAAACTCACCCTGATGTCCTGTTTGACAAACTGACCTGCGGGTCACAACCTGAGTTTATTGATCTGTGGGGCCTTGTCTGGGTGTCGGGCATGTTTTCTGGACTTTGGTTTCAGCTGCATTCCTGACTTCTGAAAGAGTAGGGGGTGTGGATTTCTACTAGGAGTAACCACTGGGAAGGAAGTAATGTTCATTAAGTGTGCAGGCAGTGCAGGACTAAGCATGCTCAGGGAAAAAGCTTTTTCTCCTTTGCCTGACAAGCCCCAGGTTTGAACTCATTCCAGAATGCCGGATTTACTTTTCTTGGGGAAGAAACAGTACCTGCCTGGGCTGCATTTTTTTCCTTCCCTCCTCAGAAGACTGGAAACAATATTCTTTTGATGCCGGGTGCGCTCCCAGTAACGTGCCTGCCTGCAAGTGGGAATCTTGCCCTGGAGAAGGAGACAAACTTTGGTACCTGTGAAATGAAGACTCCTTAGGTCAGTAAGAGGCTCAGAGGGACTTTGCGAGCAGCTCTTGGCTTTTTAACCACAGCTTTTGTCCCTGCTCTCCTCTCTCCCTTCCCATCCTCAGCCAGGGCTGAACTTTTCCCCCAAAAGTTTAGCAGCTTTCTGGTTGTTCCTTCTCTGTGCTAAGGTAAAACTTGGTTTAAGTGAAACCAACCTGAGATTGCTCAGCTTAAAAACCTGAGTTGCTGGGAGCGTGGAGGTTTATTTTCTTTACTTTTTCCCTCTTCTTTTGCTTTTCTTTCTCCTTTTTTTAGTGGTTCCTATAAATGCAAGCCTGTGCTTCCAGCGTGTGTTTTAAAAGCCTGTTCCCCCTTCTCTCCCCGCCCTCTCCCTTAGAGCTGAAAATGAGACTCGTTCTTGAATAATAAACTGTATGTTATCAAGCAAATCTTGTGGCTTGTTCATGTGATCGTTTCCAGCCCCACCATCGATGGGGTTTTTTTTGCCTTTTAATACTTTTCCAGTCCTTTCTGGAAAATGAATTGCAAAACTCTGAGCAGAGAGGTGAGAGAAAGCAATTTTGCTTGATAACTAAATTTTACTTGATGGCTAAATTTTTCAGCTTTTAAATTTTTAAGTGATCTCTGCTTTGGGGGTTTAAAAGCATATTTAGAACTCCTGTCTCTCGAGGATTCAAAATATTCCCAACCTTGAAGTGGGGAAGGAAAATAATTCCTTTTTATTTTTTTTTTTGAGACTTTGTGCTGCCTAATGGAGATTTTTCTGAACACAGGCCAAATGGTCAAGAAACAAAATGCCCACTGAATAAGAAGTGAAATGGACTCAAATAATTAGAAACTGCCTGTAGTTAATGATTGTTTGAAGTAGGTCAGAAACATTTGGCAGCTTCTGGTGTTAAATTTTGTCCTCTGCTATACTTTGGAATGGTCATATTGTTTGTCAGAAGTTAGGACTGAAGTTTGTGTATGCAAGGAGTAGGTACAGCCTCTGATATTTGAATTCTATGAACTTTAGAAACCGGAGATAATTGAAGAAATAACTTTGATATGTGCCAATTTAAAATCCTGTTGTGTAACAGCTTTATATTTATATTTATTATTTGGTTCTTGTGAGCTGGAAGTTGACAAAGGATCTCAGGAGGAAAAAAGGGGGTAGCAGGTTAGTCCTGATTCATACTCAGAGGGTTAGAAGTGCAGAATATCTTTGCAAACTCCACCAGTGGTGCTGCTGCTCAGCCCTCTCAGCTGGAAACTGTGCAGAAAACCCCCTCAACTCCTCTTCTGTGCCAAGGAGCACAGAGAAGGGAGTGGGTTTTGTGGGATCCCACTGGGATTACCTGCCCTGTGTCCGTGGAGGGACAGGGAGCAGCCAGGCCAAGCAGAAGGAATCCGCAAATACCCAAAGCTGGAGCTCTCTGATCTTTCCCTACATTCATCCCCCAAGATCCAAGGAAGCTTTTGGTGGGGGCAGGCTGGGAAATACCTTTGTGTCTTTCCTCCTCTTTGATTTAGGGACCTGGTGGGGGTTGTGGTGCTGGAGAGGGACACGGTGTGGCCACAGGGGTCTGTCCCCTCTGTGCCTCCCACACCTCCATTTCCTCGGCTGGGAAACAGGGAGGCTCCTTTGTGAGGTACTTTGCGTATTTAGGGAAGAAAAAAAATGCCTTGTGCTTACAGAGAAGTGATAAATCCAGGCTGGAAAACTGCACATCCTCATTTGAGTTTTGAACATTAACTTTTGGAGGTTCCCCAGGTCCCCTCAGGGGATTTCTCCTTGATCCAATGGCAGTGGAAAAGCAAAGTATTGTCCTTACCCAGGCACAAACAACGTGGCCTCTCCCATTGTTCATTTTCAGGTATCCATGTTGGAGGAATCCAGCTCTGTACAAACCCACCTCACGTGCAAAATAATAATCAGGGGCAGGAAATGTTTTGGGATTGTTCCATTTCCCCTCCTAAGGGTTGAGATTTCACAATTTACAGGCTTGCAGAGGTTAGAAGTGGAAAACAGCTCTTAGTCCATGGAGCCCAGACTGTACCCACCCTACCTGTGATGTACAATTGTCATGTCCACTAAATAAATATCCCCCAGATTTTGGCCCATAAACTATTTAGCCTCATGTTCATCTTTATTTTCACCCTTTTATGTTTTTATATAATCCTCATATCTATATATTTATCTCTATATAGATATCTTCCTTCACCTTCCCAGGTATTCCCAAGGCAAGTCTATTCCTGTTCCGTGGTTGGATTTAAATCCTTCTGTATTTTTTAAAACAAGAGAGGGGAATTCCATAGTTCCTGGAAAGGCCCAGGTCTTTCTAAGGTTTCATTTACCTCCAGAGTGGAGCAAGCCATGGCAAATGTGTGGAGCCTTGTTTTCTCTCTTTCATTTGTGTGCTGAATCCTGTTTTTTTGACCAGTTTAAATGGGGGAAAAACTTAAAATGTGTGTCTCCTGAGCTCCACGTGTGATTTTGCTCTTTGAAATGGACATCTGGGTTCTCAAACCGGCCCTAATCCATAGGCAGGGGTGAAATTGGGATGGAGGAAGCAGGAGGTGAGGAATGGGGTGGATCCCATCACCTGGAACCACCTTTGCTGTGAGGCTGTTCCTGCCCTGGGATGTGCAGAGCAGGAGCCCAAGGGGTTTTTGGAAGAGTTCATCCAGGCAGCTTCCTTGTTTCAGTGCTTTTACACATCCTTTCTTTTTTGGAGATGGTGATTGCTCAGAGCCTTTGGAATATCAGGATGCCAAGACCCATCTGAAACACCCCAGCTAATTCCCTGGGAAAAGGAAGCCAGCTGGTCCAGCCCCCACATGGGTTTATCTCTGATGGGTCATTCTTGACCTACAGATGCTAAATGTGATCTGTGCAGATAAAGTCCCCTTGTGATTGTTGGAATGTCCTCCAAAAGTGGGCAGGGAAGTGTAAAACAAGCAGGGGATGATTTATTTTGGAGAGAGCTGAGCTGGATGACATTGAATGCACTGATGTCAGAATGCCCAACTGGATTTTTTCATGTCTGGCACACAGAAGTGCAAGGCAAAAACTGATAATGGGACCTCAGGCTGTATTTTAGGGCATCACAGGCAGCACTGTGCATTATCACCCTGGGCTTTTGTCCTTGGGAAGAGCCAAGGAACAGCAGGGCAAGTCACTGCAGGCTGTTCTGTCTAATGTTTGACCAGGATCAGGTGCCTCAAAACACTCCTGGGAAACATCTTGGATGTGTCTCTCTGCCCGTTTTCCCTGTCCCCAAGACTAGTATGTGGAATTAGTTGCAGGGAATGAGCCATGCAGGAGCTGGAAGCCTGTGGTCTGCCTGAAATCATCTTTACAAGTTCATGGTAAAACACTTTCCCTCGAGGTGCTGACTTTACCCTAATTTTTCCCTAAAGGCAGAGAGTTGCTGCAGGTGTTGCTGCATCATTTGAGACGTGGGACAGTGATTGTAAGCAAAAGACAACCCTCTAGTGCAGCACTGGTATTAATGGTGAATTAATTTATTTTACAGGTAGCAGAGGAAATGAAAGCAATTCTATTTACCATATTGCTCACAGACTCCACAAATGTAAGTACAAATACAGTTATTTTGCCATAGGTGGAAGTGTGAGTCTAATGATCAAAGCACAATACAGATATGAATGTTGTGTGGGTTTTAAAACAAACAAACAAACAAGGAGGTCAGAGGAAAGGTACTTATTTGACATTTTCTTGCTGGCTTTGCAGAAAATCAGGGTTCATTTGGATTTAGATCCTGCTGCTTTTGGGCCAGAGTTGTCTCTGGAGAAGTCTGGGAGGGACAGAAGAGGAGAAAAGCTTTTAGCTCTGTCTGTTGAGAAACCTCCTGGGTAGCAATTTCAAAAACTCCTGCGGGACTGAGAAGTCTAACTCCTATTTTTAGAAGTATTGAGGGAGCTTAAATCAGGCTTTAAAGCTTTCAGGAACCTGGAAACGCAGGTAGGAACCCTGTGGGATCTGTGAAGTGTCTGCACAGGTTATGTGCCTCACTTTGAGAGTTAATACTTAACTTACCAGAGGGACATTTAGTAAAAACCACTCGACTCCTGCATGAATCTTCATATATCCATATCCTTATAAATCTTATATCTCCTCCTTTCAGAGGAACTGGGATTCATAAATGCTAAAACCCGAGTTTAAGGTTCTCAATGGATGTAAGTGATTTTTTGAATATATTATTCACTGCATTTAAAATCACAAGTGAGAGTAATGAAAGCAACACACACACGAATGGCTGTTGGTGCCTCCTGGACTTGTTTCTGAGTTCATTGAAGTTCAGGGGATTTTTTTTTTATTTTATTTGAGGCAGCCACTTGAGAGGCTGCAAAATTCAAGCTGAAGTTTGGTGCAGGTTCTGCTTGCTGGAAAAAGTTTTTAGAGTTGCAGCCTGGGCCAGAGTTCAGCCTCTGGATCTCCTTCCCGGGCAGGGATGCAAAGGGACAGAATTTTCTGCCTCGATATGCAAATTCCCCATAGAAATGGGGCTTTTCTGAGTCGCCTCTTGGGGTTCAGGTGGTTGAAAAAATGAGCTTTGTGTTCCCAAGGCAGCAGGGACTGGGGTTTCTCCAAAGTGCCTTTGTCTGGGGATATGCAAAGCCATCAATGCGTCATTCTTTCTGCTTCAGCTGTTAGAGACTCCCATCTTCTCTATTGATTTTACCCAGAATTCTTCCTGCCCTTGAAGGTGTGACCTGTACCTCAGGCTAATTTATTTCTGTCATGGCTGCAGCATATTTTAGAGGGCAGAGGGGGTAGGAGAGAGAACAATGAATTCAACGTGGAATATAAATCCCAAGTCTGTAGCCTTCAGACATTCCAGTACATCCCCTGCTCCCTTCTCCCCTTTGGCATTCTGCACGGTCTTGGATTAAAAGGGGGGAAGGAAAAAAGAAAAAAAAAAAGGGGGCAGGCATTTGTATAACTAATCAGGTGAGCCATTCTGGGTAATCCCTTTGGTCACACATCCTGCCATGTATATTAAAATTTGCTGGGCTTCCAAACCGTTTCCAATGACGTCCCAGTTTGTGAGCCCAGCTGCAAAGTCTCACCTTGATGGCCCAGAAGTGTCTCGGATCTGAGCACTGAAAGTTTGTGTTGTGGGATGTGGATGGACAAAGGCTTCAGATTTGTGCTGAGAACTCATTTTGGGCTGTGGCCGTGGGGAGTGCGATGGATTATTTTTCTTTTGTTTCATTTTATCTTTTGTTGAGTCACATATTCTTTCCTGCTCGGCTTTTACAGACTTAAATGTAAACTTAGGTGATGTTTAAGCACAGAAGTTTGAACTCCACAAAGCACCTGGCCCCTCTCATTATTCTGCTGAACTCAGTGGGGTTTGCTCTCATGACCTTTCCCTCCTGCCCCGGGATTTCCCTGGGGAAAAACATGTTGCTTCTACATTCCCCTGGAGAAACGGGGTGGCCTGGGCTGTGGAAAACTCTGTTGGCAAACTTTGTTGGACTGGTATGGTGTCCTTGGGATGCCTGGTGTTTTATGGATTCCTTCCTCCCACCTAGCCTGGGTTTTTGACCAAATTGGAGGCACAAAGCAGTGGCCCCTGGATCACCAATGGGATGATGGTGACGCTGGGGTTGGGGCTCGTTGAGTTCTGCAGCAGAGCAGAGGCAGCTTTAAGGAGTTCACAAAAAGCAAAGTCACTGCTTTCCTTGGAAATTTAGGGCTCGTTCTTCAGGACTGTTGACCCAGGAGTCCCTGGGCTGGGGTCACTGCTGTGGGTCAGGGCAGAGAGGCTGGGAAGGTCAGGCTTCAGAGGGATGCCCAGAGCTCTGGGCATGAAGTGTGAGACATTTCCAGGTGATTTGCTGGCAGCTGCTGCCACAGAAAGCACTAAATTAGCCTGGGATGACTGAGTTCAGTGAAACTTCAACCAGTCTGCCCTGAATTCAGAGTTTACAGTTAAATCTTGTTACTTGCCATGGGATTTGGGTTCTCAGTGGGTTTGTGTTGTGCAGCCATAAATGTTTGGTTTTCCTTCCCCCAAAGATTTTGTGCAGGGAATCACTCAGAGACATTTTTGTAGAAGGGAAAAGTAAAACAGAAGGTATCAATTCAGAGTAGAAATGAGACTAAAAATAAGGTTTATGATTTCTTCAAGGGGCAAAGAGATGTTGTACCATAGACAATTAAATGGTTTGTTGGTGTCTTTTCCCACCTTCACTTTCTTCACTGGGGCAAAGATATATAAATATATATTTGTATGTGACCTCCACCAAGATACTGGTTATTCTCAGGGAACAAAGCAGCCAGGGCTGGGCATTCAAGCATGTAGTCTCCTTGTATCTTGGCATCTTTGTGTTTATGGGTCTCACTCTTTTCACTTTGCCCCCAACAGCAATAAAGTCAAACAAGATCCGGTCTTTTCAGAGCATTGCCACTCTCCTAAAACAGAGGGAGGGAGGGAGGGAAAGGCAGTCCCAGCACAGAGAAGACCCTGTGCTTCTGTAAATTATTTCTTGGACCTCCAAGGAAAACCTGAAGGAGAGGGGGAGAAATTCCAACATTTGACTGATACCCGGTACCAGCTCCCCTCGAGATCCAGCACCTCACCTGGGATCCAATTTGTCTCTCTCTGATAACACCAGTCCTGGCTAGAACCCACCTCATGGGGTTTTTCTGGGAGCATATCACTGGAGAAGAGTTGCCCAAAATGTCTTTTCCCCAGTTTTTCCATGGGGGTCCCATGTTTAGTTGAAATGGGAAAATACTGAGTGGTTTATAACTCGGAGGGAAACCTGAAGCTCTTGGTGTTTGTTTCCTCCACTCTCCTGTCGCCACTACCAAAATATTTTTGTGCTTTAGGCATAAATTGATGTGAGTAGCTTGGTGACTCTTGTGTATCCCTGTATTTTTTTTTGTGTATCCCTGTGTATTTTGTGCAAGAAACTCAGGTTTTGGCAGAGCTCTTCAGCTCTCAGTGCAGAGGGTGTCGTGGGACAGCAGGAAGGTTCCTGCTCTGGGCACTTTGGCTCCTTCTGAGTCTCAGTTTCACTTTCACATTGTTATAACCTTTCATTTAATTTGCCTTTTTTTCCCTGCCATGTGGGACGGCACCCACTGGATGGGTTTGGAAATTCAGAAGGAAAAATACAACAATTAAAATTGCCCTCAAGTGCCTTCCTGAGGAGCTGCTGGGCTTAGGTTTGTTTTAGACCCCTCAGCATGTCTGAATCCAGTTCACATTTGCTCCATGTCCTGTTGCTGTCCTAGAAGTCTTAGAAAAAGTCCTAGAAAAAAAGGATTTTTCCTCCTTTGCTGTCTGTCCCACAGAGGTATCTGTGTGCTCACTTTTAACCCCAGAGGCAGCCACGTGTCAGTGATGGGAGAAACGAGTCCCAGGGCTGATGGCAGGAGCAGAGGGTTCCAGCACAGCAAAGAAATGCTGGAGATAAGATGCATAAGGTGTAGAGGGAGATTTTTTAGCAGTGAAAAGCATTCCAGTCATGCAGCTGAGAGGTTATTATTTAATATCTCACAAACCAAAAACACCTCTCGAGTTTTCTAGCGTGGAAAGGGAGAACCACCCAAAGCTGGGTCTGAGAAGGGATGGTTGCAAAATAATTTAATATGTGAGATGGCCTCTCGTGTGCTCCCCAGATGTCCAATCCCATATGTCTGTCCTGTTAGGCTGATTATGGAATACAGGCATTTATAGCTCAGAGCAAAGGGAGGATTGATTTCTTTCTAGAGTGGTGTGGATGTCGCTGTGTTCAAGATAATTAGACATTAGAACTGAACTGAAAGGGAGCATTATTGCACATGGAGATGTAAAGAACTGTGGGCTTGTCTACACTGGGATGGGCAGAAGTTAATTCATATTAAACTGGTGATGAATGGATAAAATGCATTAAACTGCACTGAGCCCCTTTGTGGTCACTCTTGTTCATGGTGGAAAGTGATTTTGTTTCAATTTGACTCGCTTCCAAACTAAATTTAGTGAAATCTAATTCAAGCCACTCTGATTGTGAAGTGAACCATCTAAACAGGGATTTAAATAGTGCTTGACTAACTTACCTCAAAAATTAACATTGTTTGATTATTCTGAGTGCTCTGGTGTAGACATTCTGTGCTTTGTCCACTTTTCATTTTATTATTTGCTCCTTGTAGTATTTGGATTTTTTGCCTTTAAGGCTGAGCTCCAAGACAATGTGCTAATTTCAGCTTTCATAAAATAAAAAAGGCATGATTTGTTGCACAGAACATCTTGGAGACTGTTAACCCCAAAGGTGTCAATGTGTAAATTCAAGTAATTTTAGACTAATTTTCAAGGTGCACTTTTGAAAGTTGGGGTTTCTTAATGCTGAAGATGATTCTGTATCCTGGGGGGAGTGATGGATATTGAATTTTAGTCGGTGTCATAACTGGAAATCTGATCTCTATAAAGTCCAGCTCAGGGCTTAGCACTGAATTATTCCATACAAAGAGGGAAAACAACTTGGCTGAGGGACATCCATGGGATGAAATTTGGTTGTGTGTGATTTTTGGACTTACAGAATCATGGAATGATTTGGGTTGGAAGGGACATCAAAGATC